GACACATGGACCAGTGGAACAGAATCGAGAGTCCAGAAGTAAACCCATATTTATATGGGCAAATAATTTTCGACAAAAAAGCCAAAAACATACAGTGCAGAAAGGAAAGCCTCTTCAATAAGTGGTGCTGGGAAAATTGGAAGGCCACCTGCAAAAGAATGAAACTAGACACATCAAAATTAACTCAAAATGAATTAAGGACCTGAATATAAGACTCGAAACAATAAATTGCATAGAATAAAACATAAGAACTAAACTCAAGGACCTTGGACTTAAAATGGATTTTATGAATTTGACCTCAAAGGCAAGAGAAGTAAAAGCAAAATAAATAAATGGGACTATATCAAGCTAAAAATCTTTTGCACAAACTAAAATCCAATAACAAGGTAAAGAGACAACCATCCAAATGGGAAGATATATTTGTAAGCAATGCCTCTGATAAGGGTCTAATATCCAAAATATACAAAGAATTCATACAACTCAAAAATAATAACAACAACAATCCAATTAAAATATGGGCAGAGGACCTGAACAGACACTTCTCCCAAGAAGACATTGAAATTGCCAACAAATATATGAAAAAATGCTCAACATCACTAGCTATTAGGGAAATGCAAATTAAAATTACAATGAGATACCATCTCACACCTTTTAGAATAGGTATAATCAACAGAACAAGTAATAAAAAGTGTTGAAGAGAATGAGGAGAAAAAGGAATCCTCATACACTGCTGGTGGGACTGCAAATTGATACAGCCACTATGGAAAACATTATGGAGATTCCTCAATAAACTAAGAATTGATCTACCTACCATATGATCCAACAATCCCTCTACTGGGTATTTACCCCAAAGACTTGAAAACAAATATCTGAAAAGATATTTGCACACCGATGTTCATAGCAGCATTATTCATGGTGGCCAAGACATGAAAGCAACCAAAATGTCCTACAATAGATGATTGGATAAAGAAGCGGTGATGCATATATACGATGGAATGCATATATTACTCAGCCATAAGAAGAGATATAATACTGCCATTTGCAACATGGATAGACCCGGAGATAATCATGTTAAACGAAATAAGCCAGACAGAAAAAGTTGAAAAGCACATGATATCACTTATATGTGTGATATAAACCTAAAAGAAACAAATGAAGAAAACAGAGACTCATGGACATGGATATAGACTAGTGGTTACCAGAGGGTGGGAGGAAGGGAGGGAGGAGGTAGATGGGCTACAAGGGGTCAAATATGTGGTGACAGAAAGAAATCTATGGGCATTGAATACTCGATGCAATATATATATGTGCCTTACTGTTGAATTGTACACCTAAAACTTACTGGATTTTGTCAACTAATGTCACCTTAATAAGTAAACAAACAAACAAACAATCTCGATATAATGGTAAATAAATAAATGGGGCAAAATACAGAAAATGTAAACAGGATATACAATTATATAAATAAGAAAAAAGCAAATACTATAAATAGAAAAAAGACCTAAAGGAAATTCAATCAAAATGTTAAATGTAGTTGTTTATGGGTATGAAGACTCACTTTTTCCTTCTACCTTATATTATTCCATAAAAGTTTAATCATATATTTTGAAATATAAAAAATAAAAAGTTCTAAAAATCAACTGTAAAATTCATGTATTACAAATAAATTTCATTGACTATTGTTTTTTTCTATAAATTTTCAATTCTATTGTGTTGTATTTAAAATTTTTGATCAATAAACACAATTAGAGAGAAAAAAATACTACCAGTTGACAATTCATCAAAATTATTTTTATGATAGTGGTAAGAATATTGGGCATTAGAATATTGTGATTCCTCCAAAATGAATCCATGTTTTCTAAATTAACTAATTTTTTTCAAACATGATATTTTTTTTTTCTGTTTTCACAGAAGATATTTACGCTATTTTAGTTAGGTAGCAAATTTTCATTGCAAGATTTACTGGAAATACAACTGCTGTTTGGATAGAAGATAGTAGTTTACTAAATTTGAGGATTACCTATAAATTAAAAAACATATCTGTACATGTTAGCACATTGACTCTTTTCAGTGTCGTCTATTCAGATACCATATGTTAGCAATTTTAATGAATAAATTACTTGATAGCAAAAGACAGTAGATGGACTATACAGTTGTCAGTGTATGTACACCAGAGAATCAAAGGGATAATGAACCCTGTCAGAGTTAATTTCCTTCCTTCCTTCCTTCCTTCCTTCCTTCCTTCCTTCTTTAACTTTTTATATGGAAAACTTCAAATCTATAAAATTTAAAAGAACAGTACAATGAACACCTACTTCTCAGTCATAGTTATCCCAACCACCTTTGCCAATCTTCTACAGAAAATGTGCAGATCAACATCCATCCATTCAGGCAAAAGTATTTATTGAGAAGTTCCCAAGCCTGGCACAGTTCTTGAATGATAATAGATGAAAACGTGCCTTAAAATGCAAACTATGACATAGATTGAATGCTAGCTGTGCAGTCTTAGAAGACTATTGCCTTCAACTGTTTCTTTATCTGTAAAATGTGGTTGTTAAAACTACTTCCTAAGATTGATGACTGAGTGTCTAACATGTGGTGATAAGTATGCATCCATTTCAACAGTTAAAAGGCTCAGTACATTTTGTTGGTTGTTATTTACTAAAAGTATGAAAATCAGTGAGGCAGCAAAGCTTCAGAAAAAAGGAGCACAATCTCTGGGTTCAACTATCCTGAGTTCAAATCCTGGCTCCTCTACTTATTATCTGTGGCTTTAGATACATCACTTGAGCTCTCTGTTCCTCTTATCAAAATTATTCTCAATAATAAATGATGCAAAATAAAATGAAACTTCAACTCCTATAACCTAAACACAGTTAAGTAAGAGATTGATTGAAACGCTGAAACAAAGTGAGAATAGTATAGAAAAAAATTAGTAGGTAACCAGTAAGGAGCAAGAATAATTATGAGAAGAGGGGTGAGGGGTAGGGGAGGAAGAAGGGGAAAAGAAAGCAAAAAGAATGATGGCATAATTAATTAACTTTTTCTACCTTCTAGGGAGATGGACCAGTTTAAACCTCTATGATGAGCTCTCTGACTTGGTGGCAAATGAGAAGATACAATAAACTTATTCTTCTCTCTCTGTCAATTCCTATCTGCTTCCAAATTGACAAAGTTTAGGGAGGACAGACTCATTCCTTCTCCTTCCCAATTAGCTTGGCTCAACTTAGAATTTTATGTTAGTTTCAAATAAAAAACATGGTGCCCGCTTAAGTTGGATTTATACATCTTTCAAATTAGCGTCCTTTTAGAATTGAAGAGCAGACTCAGAACTGATTTTTCACAATTTTTTCTTTAAGAATGAAAAATGTACTGTTACACTGCTTCTCTGAATATAGAGGTGTTTCTATCTTTGAAAGTTTAATGTAATTCAAAGAAGAAAAGTACTTTAAAATGAGAAACTAAGACTAATTTTTATTCTCTGTTTTCATAGGAAAAAAGAATGACTGATGTATCATAAATAATTTCTATTTTTGTCTCGTTGGCTAATATGTTTGAATTATTTGAGACTAGTAATTAATAATTTGAGCCTGCCATCATCAGCAAGGGTTTCCTTATGTATATTAAATTAGAATTATAATTCAAAGGTAATATAATAAAGATGGTATGTGTTTTAGAAGGGAGGGGCAAAAATTTGAGTGAATACAACTCTCTTTTTATATTTTCTACAAATCTTCCTTTGATCAAACAAAACATGTTTTAAAAAACTGATTTAGATAATAACTTATCAGTCTATGGCCCAGAATTAAGATAATAGGTACTACTAATTCTATGTGTTACATTATGACATTAACTTCAGTTTTATGAATCAGGCACTAATATAGAGTCAAATCTATTATGTTCATTAGAATTCAAACTTCAAACCCTGACTGCCCCACATCCCAGCTTGGAGATCCTGGGAAAGTTACTTTCTAGGTCTCAGTTTCCACATCTGTAAAAGGACTGTTGGAAAGCAATCGATCAACTAAGAAATTTTGAAGTCCCCCAAAGATAAAACAGGGAGTCCTGTGGGATTGTCGACATGACTGATGTGCAATAGAAGGACCTCAGAGAAGGTTACAAGCCAGTGAATCTCACTTCTGCACCTGCCAAGATGATAGGCTACATACACTATGTAGTTCTGGCCCACTGACAACTATGTTTCTCACAAACATCAATAAAACAATTAACATTCACTGCTGAGTGCTGGTCACTGGTGGATAACCACTGAAGACATAAGAAGTTATACGCTGTGATTATGCCCTCACTACAATGAGAACACTAAAATCAGATATTAGATCTGGCACTTAATAAGCAGAAGGCAGGCAAACAGATAGGCAATTAAGATATCCTTGGAGAACTATACACACAAACACACACATACTCACAGACACACAACACAAACAGTGTTTCCATTCAATTTAGACCATTGGCACTCAAACATGGCTGATCATGAGAATCACCTAGAAAATGTGCTAAATTTATAATTCTTGAGCTTTAGCATAGCCTTACTGCCTCTGAAAATCTATACATGAGAGATTAAAGTCTGTTTTTTCTCTGTTACGGAGTTTTTAAAGCTCACTTGGCCATGCTAAAAACCAACCACTTTGAGCACGGTTGTGAATGTTGACTGCAGATCTGCAGGCAACAAGGATGAAAGTGAGTCAGACCCCATGACAGTCCACTAGAAACACCCACTCTACTGATTAATATCAATACAATGTAGTACGTGCCGAATCCCAAAGAGTGACACAGGTAATGATGTTCCAGAGGTTCAGATACATCAAACCACCAGGACTGATTCACCTACCTCTGTTCTTTGATGAGGAAATAAGAATGTGGGTAAGAGGCATCAATACCTTATTTAAGAGTTTTCTTGATTCAGATTTTAGAAATGAAAGTATTGTAGTCATTATCAAATATACTGTCAATATTTTAAAGATGAAAACTAAAACAAATCTTTGATAAGTTTTCACACAGAAGGCCATTTGCAAATCCAACCGCCATAAAATTAGGAAAAGCAGTTTACCATGGAATTAAAAGGAAGAGACAAGAAACAAAAGTTGAATGGGTCCCTCCCTTTGTAGATCCTTATATGCTCACACACATCCCCACACACACACTCCCTAAGGTTAGTAGTAAAACTATCCAGAAACTTTTCTTATGGGAGTTGCCAACTTTGTATTGCTTTCTTCAACATCTGACTTATTTCTCTACACTTTGGACTCATGTTTCTGATTCGAGGCTCCTCCCCAGTGCCTAACAAGAGACCTAGCACATTGTAGGCAATCAGTGGATTTATCGTGTCAATGGAAGTGCCCAGCGCCCACTTCCCTTTTGCCTATACCCTCAGACTCCGTGGAGTAGCATCCCTGGCCCTGAAATAACCATAGGAAGATTTCCAAACTGAGGAGCCAAAGAAAGTAGAAAGTGGGCATCTGAGCTACAAATGACCTCATAGATCTATGCCAGATGCATGAATATAAAAGTGTGAACTATTCCTTATAATCACATTTGGTACCATGACACTGGGCTTTCATGGGGCTCGTTTTGGGGGTTTCTCCTCTACCTCAGCATTCTACTGGGCCCATGAGCACAAGGCCCTCTTGAATGGGAGAAAGGAAAAGGTAAACACAAGGAAGAACAAAATGAAACCTAAATTATTTTCTCTAATTGTTACCCTACACATACACACCATATGCAGATGGACCTGGGTTATTAGTGATAATAAAGGAAAAGAGGAAAAGTATCCCCAGGTTTCACCCAACCATACCAGTCAAACATACAGGTGTAGAAAAGAAGACATGGAACAAAGGACTGAACAAACTAAATATGAAGAGCACTCAGCTTCTCCTCCCTCTTCAAACCCTGGTATCTGTGTGCCCGGAAATAGTGGAGAGCTCTGCTCTGAGCAGCTTAAGCAAGACATGAGGAACCTGGAGGATCTCCAGAGGGAGGGAAAAAAAAAAAAAGGGCTGGATGGAACATCTCAACATAATGGGAACATTCCAATTATGAAATCGCAATTATTCAGTGTTAAAGACCTAGGTGGCAGCAGGACATGACTGAAGATTTTTTGTTGATCTTGTGGTTTGAGTCAACAAATCATGGATACTGTCTTGGCACACACCTGTGAAATGTAGGAGAGAGAATTTTAGGACATATATTAATCTATAGGCACTATCAATGGAATATATTCATCTAAAAGGTGAGATAGGAAAAAAAGTGAGAAAAGAGGGAAGGGGGAAAAGGTAAAGGAGATGAAAGTGGAAGAACAGGGGAAGGAGGAGAAGGGAAAAGAAAAAAAAGAAAAAAAAAGAGCTTAGAACAATTCGTGGGAGAGAACCATTATGATTGGCCCCAGTGAGAAAAAAAAAAAAAATCTGCCTTTCTACAAAATTACTTTGTTCTGTTAGAAACAATAACAAGCTGACCCTGACCTTAACCTAACATATCAGCAGGGATCAATCTAAGGTCGAATGTCAATCTATAACTACTGCAACAATTACTTAGGGCAAATACATATATACACATCAAGGATTTGCCCTTAGTAATTATGGGAACTAGTTAAGCCATCTCTGAAAGACTGTTGTCCTCGTATCTGATGCTGGAGCTTATAGCCCACAGGGAAGGACATCAACAAGGAAAGGTGGATATAACATGTGAGACACAAGAACAAGTTGTAACTCACAGACAGGAGCTGAAGCCCATGAAGATGCACTGAAACCCATATCAGGTTTTATTGCCCATGTCTTCCATAGTGTGGGTGTCCTACAGAAGTTGGAACCCTTTGTCGTGGTTCTGAACACACACTCCCTGGCCCAGAGTAAGAGAAGGTGAAGGAGATCCTGGGGAAGGCGAGCAGTTGTAGGCCCAGCTGCTGCCTGGTGTCAGTGAGGGGAGGCAGCAGACGGGCAACAGTGTGCATGAGCTGCAAGATGCTACTGCTTCCCGTCTGTCCCCCAAAGCTCACAGAATCACTCTCATGCTGCACCCTCTCTCATGCTGCACCCTCACAGGAAACATAGGAAAGGGGACTTTGGGAAATATAGTTTGGCTTAGCCAACTTGACAATTACAAGCAACCACTCTCAGTTTGGAGAAGGGAATGGTTTTTCAGTTTTCTTGTGTGTATGCATATACCATTTCTTAGTGTAGATAGGGCTTCTCCACTTCCACATAACAGACATTTGAGAACAAGTAATTCTTTGTCAAGAGTGGGGAGAGCTGTCCTGTGCACTGTAGGATGTTTAGCAGCATCTTGGCCTCTACTAACTAGACGCTCCTCGATGTGACAACAAAAATATCTCCAGATGTTGCTGAATGTCCCCAGGGAGCCAACTCTTCTATAGTTGAGAATCACTGGTCTAGAGCAGTGTGCTGCTTGAGGAGAAGAGCCATTAGTTCTTTATCCTGGAAACCAACACAGTGTTTTGCATGTAATAAGTGCTCAGCGATTAGCGGTAGAATGCACACACATGTGCATAAACAAATATTTACCTTTCACCAAAGTGACAGGTATGCATTTTAAAGAAAGTACTCTGCTCCTGAAGTGTTTGTTGATGTTCTGACTTCAGAGCACTGCTTTTTGGTCTAACTACTCTCCCAGATGATCTTCACTGCTGTGGTTTTCGTGACTACGTTCCTGACTCCCATATCTTTGTCTCCAGCCCAGACTACTGCCCTGCCTGTTAAGTATTTGTTTTTAAATGTCTCCTTGGCCCCGCAATACAGCATTTCTAAGCTAAACTCTTCCAGTCCCTCCACACATGGTTCTCCTGAAATCCTTGCATCAGGGAATGGCATCGCCTGCATTAAGTAGACCCAGAATGGCAGGAACATTCTTAGATGACAGACCTAAATACAAAACTTACCATGCCCCTGCTTTCCTGTGGCTTCTAGCACCCAAGCACTACTGGCCTCTGTACTGGGTCTGCACATAGTAGATGTTCAACTGAGTGGGATGTTATCATTGTGGCATTGTGACTGAATTACTCTGCTCCAGAGAAAGAAAAACCTAATCTCAAGCACGGTACA